ATAAGTTATTTAACTGTCATGTAATAGCTTTGATGATGTTGCAGGGGTTCTGAAATGATTAATAATGTGAATCAAATGGTAGTGTGATCTTAGGAGTGCCAAGTTGGCAACCTTTGATCATAGCTAACCATGATACTGCATTTTCTGAGCTAAAAAGATATTTGATGATGTTGCAGGGGTTCTGATATGCTTAATAATGTGAATCAAATGGTAGTGTGATCTTAGAAGTGCCAAGTTGGCAACTTTTGATCATAGCTAACTATGATACTGCATTTTCTGAGTGAAAAAGATTATTTGTTTTTGTTGCCTATGTTTGAAAAATATAAAATCATCTATGCCAACTATTCATAACTAATATATAAGGATTTATACCTTGCACACACCTTTTTAATTATTTAAATAGAAATTTTTACAACATAGTAACTTCTTTATTGAGTATCGTAAGTCTTTCTTCAGAGTTTGCGAAGGTCGGCCCAGACCTGAAAAACAGAAGTTTTTTCCCCCCAGATTAGGCTTGCTTAAAAAAGCCCATCTTTATACTCGCTAAGTGATTTTTTCGCATTTTGCTATTTCCAATAAATTTTCTTTGCAATGATCAAACCAAATTGTTCTTTTGAATTATGAATTTACTGTTTTATAAATTTAATTTAGTAACTTTTTATACAAAATTATGAACAAACTAACTTAATGCATAAAAAGTAAAGTACATGATCAGGGGTCTGTCCAGGCCGAATTTACTACCGTTTAGCGGTACCTTCACAAATTTAATTTTAGGTAAAGCGGTAGTTTCACAAATTCAACTTTAGGAAAAACAGTAGTTTCACAAAATACTTTTTCTTAAAATTTTATTTTTGTATCCCTTAAGAAACGATAAATCTATATTTTAACCATGTTTTTGTATTGATTTTTTAATATAATTTTTAATTTTTCGCAAATTATGTCTAAATTTTCACATAATAGGTACCTTTCACAAAAACCTAGACAGACCCCTGATGATTTTAAAAACATAGCTAAATTATTATATATTACTTATCTCTAAAAAAAATTTGTGTAATATGTTTGCACATAATAGAGCTCATACTAGGCAGAAAAAAGGGCAGGGTGCAAAAGTTTAAAAAGGGGGCATTATAATACTAAAAAGGCAATAATTTCTTTCTATGGGCTTTATACATTCTATTAAAAAACATTGTAAATTAGTAAGATAATTTTTTTTTATTTTTTACTTTACTAAAAGTAGCAAAGCAATCATATAAATTTCTAATTTTTATTAATAAATTAACATATAAATCGAGTTAATGAGCTAATTAGCTTAGTAATTTGTTTAAATGCATGCATATATTAATAAAATAATATATATATGTTTTTAAGTGTCCGTAATGATTTAATGATAGTGGAAGTAACTGCAAACAACTGCAAGTGCAACAAGGGGGTGTGATGGCTATTTTTCCTTTCCCATATAAATCTATGTATTGACAGCAACGACAAACTAAATAAAAAAGAGTTGAAAATAACAAAAATTTAAGAAATCTTTTGTAGAGTTTGGGGGAAAAATAAAGAAGGGTTGAGGAAAGAAATGGGGAAAAAAAGGGTATGTAGTCTATTACATCAGGGCACTAATTTACTTCAGGGACAACAGGGTGGATTATTTTGACTAAAAGGGCAGCAGGCTGCTGTGCCCTGTTTACCCTGCCTAGGATGAGCTCTGCACATAATACTTATTTCATAACTTATTTGGATTGTAAATCCTTCAAGGTTTGTTAAAATACATCAATAGATATATATTACAGGTGTCTAATATTTCAAAATGAATGATTTTTTTCCACAAAGAATGTAGAAATTAATTTTTCAATTTAAAAAAAAATCTTTACTAAGTATGTTAAGAGTTTATACCAAAACAGCCTCATTTTATATTAAAATTTCTACAATAGATAGTACCTGTATCCATATACTATACCTTTTTCAAGAAAAATCTATATTTAAAGAAAAAGTTTAGAGTAATAAATCTGGAATTTAACAGGGGGGAAAAATTGTCAATTAGAATAGCAGTTGAAAGCCAAAACATCCTCATCTGATTGTTCAATTATTTACTGCCTCTCTTATGACTGCTGGACTAAAAAAAAAGGTTTTCTGATTTTAAATTAGTTCATGTGAGCTGGGTTTTTTCCCTAAAAACCTAATTTTTTAAGAAATTTTTTTTTTCTGTGAACCCTGAATATTTTATTCTTATGAACATGGCAACCATTATTTTAATTATATATTTTATACATGTACATAATAAGATTTAAATAAGTTTTTTTTATATCATTCATTTTAATCAACAGATTTTTTTTTTTATAGAAAAATCTTTGATTTAAGTGAAATATATATATATTTTGAAATATATTTTACAGGTTGTCATTTTTTTAAAAATGAATGTCTGATTTATTTGATACTTAAAATATACTAAATAATAATAAAAGAAGACTAAATATGGATTAAAATAATGTGAAACTTTAAAATTTTAACTTAACATTAATTAGCTGCTTGTAAAATAATTTGCAATTTGATTAACATATTTCACTTATACCAATTCATTTTTATTTAATGCAAATACTTTAAAATTTATTAAACGTTTACTAGAAATGTAAATTATAAAGAAAGACTTATTCTGCCTAGAGTACTTTAGAATGCTTGATTTTTTTTAATGTTTTCTGATCTAATTTAATTTACTTTTCTTTTGTTACCTAACAGGGTCTTTGTCTATTCATGAATGTTTTGAACTTCAATAAAAACAACTATGATTTTATTAATAGAATTATTTTTCTGGTGTTTAGTTAAAAAAAATAAGACAATAACTGGTTCGTAGCTTCATACGCTGGAAATATGATATGACTGTTTACCTGTTTCAAGGGCATCAAAATCCTGTTAGCTTTAATTATTGGTGGGACATTATTTACAGTTACACCTGGTAACGCGCTTTAAGTTTCGGCTTAAGGAGCCTGATAAATATGTCTATTATGAAGAATTCGAAAATTTTTTAAGTGTTGCACATTGTTGGAACCACAGGCATAAATTCAATTTCGATAAAGCTAAAATTTTTCCACACAAGTATTATTTCCACCGTCATGTCAGCTCTTGATTTCATGGAATGTTGTTCTATTCATTTGAATGCTGATTCCTTTGTTAATGGTATAAGTTCCTCACAAACCCACCATAACACATTGAAAAGCATTTTGTCCTGATTTTCTTCTCTGCTATTTTTTTTTCTTGTTTTGTTTTTAATCTTTTCTCTCTCACAAGTTCTGTGATTTTTCCAGTTTGTTTCTTGTCTTTATTTTTTCCATTTTTCGTTAGTAACTTAATATTTTTTTCAATTTATTATTGTTTTGTTACATTCAGGTCTCTAAAATTTTGAGAATCTGAAACTATTTCAGTTGCGCTTGTTTAAAACATGTTGACTATCATTTTTGTATAATTTTAAAGCATATGAAGTTTTCAATCTGGTAATATTAACTGTTTTAGTTATAATGTTGATTTTAAAAAGTATTAACCATTATTAATACATTTTATCAGAACTTTGATTTGTCCAATTAAAAAAAAAAGGTTTCATTCATGAATATTTTATTTATTTTGGAATTTTTTATTTCTCGCCTTTTCCTTTGTTTTTATACATTTTATGAGCTTTTATTGGAATGAAAGACGTGAAACAATTTACTGATAAAATACTGAATGTGTACTCAATTTGTAATTGTGTTTCTCTTGCAATTTCATGTTATTTCGTAGTATCAGTAAAATACGCATTAATCGAATTGAAATGTTTATGAATTGAATGAAGTGTAGAATGTATATGTTGCAAATTTTAAGTATCCAATGATCCGGTAAAAATAGTTCCCACGTAAGCCCTTCAGGGGTGATTGTGCTCTGGAAAAAATCTGGATTTCCGGAATTTTCGCTAACAGTGATGTGGAAGTTTCCGGAGATCGAAGGTCCAGACGTTTCAAAATATCATTTATCACAGAAGTAAATCAAATTTTCAAAGGTGGAACTTAAAAACACAGTTTATTTTATTTGTTTGTAAGGGAGAGCCAGAGAGATACTTTATAAGCTTATATTCATGATTAATATTCATTTTTTATCAGTAAATAGTTGTTATAATCATAAACTCAAGAAAGAAAGACATATTTGTAAATTTTAATTACTTCTCCAGGTCATCATAGCTATGTGTAAATGGTATAGGTATGTGTAATATTTTAAGTAAACTAAGAAATATAGGAAAAAAACCTTGTTTAAATTTTTTTCAATTTAAACTGTTTTTTGTTTTTTTCTAACTCAAGAAATTTTCCGGAATTTTGACTTAGGCTTACAATCACCCCTGGCCCTTAGTTTGAAATGTACAGCACAGAACCCGTTATCCGGAAATCAGAAAACCGGAACGAAATTCGATAAATTTTCCCGCCATTTTTTAAAAAAAATGTTTTTTTCCNGATGGAGGTCTTAAACGCTATGGTCCCGATCGTTGCGGATAATCGGTTCCCTACTGTATTAACAAAATACAAATATTAGGTTGCTCATTCTGTTAAATGGCATTAGCTAAGATGAAGATTCTCTGCTTGGTTCTATGTCAAAAGTTACTGTTAATGATCTACAATTAGTACTAGCTCTATTTTGCTGATTTTAACTAGCTGAAAGAATTCGTAACATCAGACGTGATGTTTTCTTGTGATCTGCAATTTTCCTCTTTCTACCTTTTTTTATTTTTTTGTCTCACTGTTTAAAATTAATTTTTTTAAATTGTTTGAAAACTTAAAACATTGATTATATGATTCGTAAAAAAATAGTTAGTATATAACCGCAGATAAATAAATAGTAAATAACCGCACTTGTAAATATTTTATATTATGAACTTTTTTATAATGTATGAAAAGAAATCAATTAAAAATTTTAATCCTTTTATTGATAATGATTGGAGTTGTGTGAGTTGGCAGTTTTGGTTGTGGTTTATTTGGGGATCATTCACTAAAAAGACTATGGTTTTGGTAAATGTATAAAAATCAGTTAGTAAAACTTTGATTCATTGAATGATAAAAATTGGTACACTCAATAAATTTACACTCAAAATTGTCTTGGTACTTCCCCAAGTGTATTCCTTAAATTTTTTATTTTGTTACTCATCTCCTTTTCTTCTGATATTATAAAATCTCACAATTTTAATTTGCAGATTTTATTTTCTAAGCAACTTCAAGTATTTATTTTTATTTAAGAATTTTATGAATGTTTATCAATTTTCATTTCTTTATCTTTGGCTAGTGAAACTTTGTTATATTTCATATCTACAAAAAGCATTCTTTGCAGGTATATAATGACAGGTTCTTATAATAATTTCTTCCGGGTTTTCGACCGTCATACTAAAAGAGATGTTACTCTTGAAGCTTCCAAGGAAATAGCAAAGCCTAAAACTGTTCTTAAACCTAGAAAAGTAAGTTGTAGATCAAAAATGTATTGTCACAATATTATTTTTTTAAGGAAAAAAAAGAGATTAGAATATCAATATTTATTAATAAATGATATTCTTGTTCAGTTTGAAAATTTTTTGTCTTAAGTAAATTTAATAAGCATCTATGTGTTATTTTATTTAATTTAAATTGAACTTAAGTTTATTACATTAATTTAGTTTTAAATGGCTTTAAATTTTGCCATTTTCACTGTTTCTCACAAAGTTATCATTGACTATTTCTATGTAATTCAATAAAACTGATTGTGTTTTTTAGGTTTGTACAGGTGGCAAAAGAAAAAAAGATGAAATTAGTGTAGATTGTTTAGATTTTGGCAGAAAAATATTGCACACTGCCTGGCATCCTCAAGAAAATATAATAGCTGTAGCTGCTACAAATAATTTATATTTGTTTCAAGAAAAGTTGTAGTAATAGTTGTAAGTATTTGACTCTTGAGTACTATATGCAAATTTAATAGTGTCATGATCTTAGCATTAAACAAGGGGGGAGGGCAAGTATTTACAGCTCCCTGCCTAAAATTAAGTTATTATAAATTACATGCTAATGCACTATTTTTCTTCAAATTTTTTTATTGCTTCAATTTTTTTAAAAAAAAAAAACTTAATGTCTATCATTTTCATTGTATGCAGATTTCTATTTTATTTTTGACAAGAATTTTGAAAATTACTGTTAAGAGCAATGATTGTAAAACAATATTGAACAATTCCATGATACAAAGGACAACATAATAAAAAAATAATTTTGCTGCATCCCTCCATCAACATATTTCTTGGTTTTTTTATTAACTATTTTAGATGCAGAATTAAAAATTGTAGTTTCTAAATATTTAGTAATAATAATAAAATTTTGATATAGCCTGTATTTGTAACATCAATTACATAAAAATTGTCACATGAGTCGCAAGAGCTTTCTATATGTCATTTTTGCGCTTTCAATGTTCCAGTGATTAATTTGTAGTTTTGTTTAAGTAAATTGAGGAAAAACATTGCTTTTGGAAGAAAGATAATTTCAAAATAAAAATGTATTTTATTCCATGTATTCTACATAAAGTCAGTCTCATTTTAAATTATTATTTATCTACAATATTTATAATTTTCATCCCTTTTTCTTTTATGCAAAATAATAACAAACATCCCATTATTTTTTTAAAAAAAGTTGTTAAATGTTTATCAGCAGAAAAAAAAGAAGTATAAGAATACTTATAGAATGTATTGTCAGTCATCATGGAATTGTAAATTATATGAATAATAAAGCGCAAATTATATAGCAACACATTTTCTAAGAAAATATACCGTATCCTTTAGTTAGAAATAATAGGTGAAAATATTTTATTTTGACTCATGTTAAAAAGAAAATTTCAATATTAACGTTATATATTGATCATATAAAATGACTAATATTATAACCTAGGGGTGCACAACCTGCGGCCCTTCGACTACTGAAGTGCGGCCCGCGAGAGCTTCTAAACACAATAAAAAAATTTTAAAAAATGGCAATTTTTAAACATCCCTTTTTAAATCCTCACGTTTTGACACAATCAATTTTAACAGATTCTTTAGTAAATGTACGTTTAACGCGCTTTCTTTAAGCCGATTTTATAGTAAATATATATGATTTTTTTTTATCTTTTTTTTGCAATTCTTTCTCTTTTTTCAAAAAATTTTTTCGGCAGTTATTGCTATACTTTCCCACGTATTATAAAAAATTCCAATTATTCTATTACGACATGAAAATTTTAAATCGTGCGTTTGACACGCTTTATTCGTGCTGAGTTCAGCATAAATATATATTTTCCCACTTATTTCTATGCTTTTCCACATGATTTTGACTCCCGTTATTTAACTATGATGTTATTACGACACGTGATTGTTAATCGCGCAATTAAATAATCACTTTTTGATACGGTATTTCGGTACAGTTTTATCGAAAACCTAGTTATTTTTCCTTCGTTTTTATTTCCGCAACGAATATGATTTGGTCGAATGTGGTAATGAATTGTGATTTGGTCAAAAACCAAATATTCGGCAAAAAAAAGAAGAAAAAATCGACTGAACGCAGTACAATTGGGGCCAAATAGCAAAATCTTTTACTGCTACTAAACACTGAAACTAAAATTTTAATGCTCAGAATAATATTTCCTGGAAAAACGTATTCATAAATTAACTCTAAAAAGAACGTTTTTGCCAATCAAGGCGAATCAAGAACGTTTTTGAAAATGTCGAAAAGCGAAACAGAGA